AATTTTTCAGTTACATGATATCTTCTTCTGTTTTCATTCCTATATTTTCATTTTTGTTCCTTGTCAACTCGATTCCTTATAGATTCAATGTGCAAACAAATATGTGTTTTGTGTGATAAACAAAATCTGTTAAGTGAAAATAAACTTGTGATTGGAAAATGAATTTGCACATAAATAATATGGTACAATAAACAGAATTCCAGGAATTTTTACAACACGAACATCTGTAACGGATAGTAAACAACCGTAACAGTAGTATGAGCATCAGTAGCAGCGATAGCAGCATCACTATCAACTTCACTGTTGTTGTTGTTGTCGTTGTCATCATCATCATCATCATCCGAGCTGCAACGTTCTGTTACTTAATGAAATTTGACGGCTGGGCTTTTAACGGCGGCTAACGCTGCGGCAAATAAAATGTATTTAGCTGCTTTCGGCTTAAAATTTAAAAAACTAAGCTTTTGGCGGTTGGATTTTGGCCAATAATTTTTTTATTTAAACGTTTCTCTCAATTCGCCTGAAGCTAATGGACGATGTTTGTGGAGGAGAAGCGGTGCCGATGAGTCAATGTCAGTTTGGGTGTGTATTTGCTCTATGTGTGTGTTTGTGTGTGTATCTGTGTGTGTGTGTGTGTGTGTGTGTGTGTGTGTGTGGTGGTGTGAGTGTGTGTGTGTGAGTGTGTGTGTAAGTGTGAGTGTGTTTGTGTATTTTTGTCTTTTGGGAAGTTGTTCTTTATTTTGTTCGTCTTACTTGCTTTTAATTGTTGTTTTTGCTGCCGTTGTTGATGTTGATTTGGTTATCGGATTTGGCCAGAAACTTTATTGGTATGTTTGTGAAAGATGTGTATGTGTAAGACTAGAAAAAAAAATTCATGTTTTTTGATTAGAAGTTTTCTATTTTTTAGTTCGTCGTTTTATTTTATTTTTCTTGCTGAGGAGTGCCAGGAATTCATTCTTTCCCACAGTATTTGGTGAATCATTTGGACTGGAACTTGCCGTTTTTAATCTTTCTTGTCTTTTTCTTAATTTTGTTTTATGTGCATTTTTTTTTACTGTGTGTCTAAGTAATTTGTGATTTCTAATTGGATTTCATCGCTTTTTTGCGGAGCAGAAAACGCTTAGTTTGGGCAGGATTTGGGGAACCGTGGAAAAAAAAGAAAGTAGAATGTATAGGATTGTTTTCTGTGCTGAGATTTTTTTTACTATGTTTTCCCACCCTCCCCCCTCAATCTCTCTCTCCAAAATAATCAATTTAAAATGAAGAGGAATTGAGGTGCTTTTAAAACCAGCTTTTATCATACATCAGCTGCGTTGCCATATGTGTTTGATTGGATGGATTATTTACTACTTAGTTGATCAAACTTCATCGGAATGAAGATTGAAGGGGAAGAATGTATTTGGCTGAATGGAGAGTCCTGCTCTCTCTAATCAATTATAGGTTTCTGTAGTTTTCTTTGAATGAGTTTTTAATTCTGTTGTCTTTATATCCTTTAATGCGGTTTTTGGGCGTTTATTAGGATTCGTATTTCTATAAATTTTATTATTTTTTTAATTGTTTTTGTCAAGGAGAAATGACGAATACCTTCAAAGATGCTTGGCGACTTCAGTTGCTCTTCAAGTCATTGGTAGAGTTCATGAATTTAGACTTCTCATTTTCTATTTATGTTTACATTGTTAGGTTTAACAAGTATTTGTTTTCTCTAATGCTGGTTAGCTTAGATGGTATGAGGTACCGCCTGTGAAATAATTCTTTCTATCTGTATTTGTTCCAGTATTACAGGAGGAGAGGAAAAATGTGATTTTTAATATTCAAGGAGGAAAGGGATTGACGTTTTTTTGGTAG